GAGTGTGCTATTAACTCTGCTGAAATTCAGCAAGAGATTGTCCAAAATCATCTGGAAGCAGATACTCAAAAACCCCATGAGATTCTGAACAGGTCAGCAAAGAGCCAGCCTCTTGAAGCTGATCAGTGTAGAAACTTGCCTCTGGTGAATTTTGGGGAGGTTTTTTGGAGCAGCTGGTGGGTCTGACTTGAGTGTGTGCTGTGGTGGAGGGGAGTGTGAGTGGCCGTGAAGAGCTGGAGAAGTGGGAGCTGAGTGCCCAGGCCTGCAGCCCTCCTAGGCATATGGCTTTACTCTTCCTGGGATTGGATCTTTGCCTGCCTCTTGAATTCATCACATTTTTCTCCCCTCCTCCCCAACTGTCTCACTTTAGGAACAAGTATCTTCTTCTAAACAGCCAAGAGCTGAATGAACTGAGTGCCATCTCCCATAAAGCCAACATCCCTGAAGTGGATGCAGTTGTCAACACAGACAGGTGAGCAGGGATGTGGGGTCAGCTCAGCAGCTTCTAACATTTTGCAAACACTTAGGTTGGAGGTTTGATAGCACCTGTTTCATGGAGGTGCACCCTGGGGTGCATTAGAAAGGGGGTGGTTAGTAGGTCAAGGGAGGTTCTCCTCCCCCTCTATTCTGCCCTGGTGAGGCCACATCTGGAGTATTGTGTCCAGTTCTGGGCCCCTCAGTTCCAGAAGGACAGGGAACTGCTGGAAAGAGCCCAGGGCAGAGGCACAGAGCTGATGAAGGGAGGGGAACATCTCTCTGATGAGGAAGGGCTGAGGGAGCTGGGTCTCTGGAGCTTGGAGGAGACTGAGGGGCCACCTCATCTGTGAGCACAAATCTGTTCAGGGCAGTGTCAGGAGGACAGAGCCAGGCTTTGTGCAGTGATGTCCAGTGACAGGACAAGGGGCAGTGGGTGCAAACTGGAGCACAGGAGGTTCCATGTGAATCTCAGGAAGAACTTCTTTGCTGTGAGGGTGACAGAGCCCTGGGCCAGGCTGCCCAGAGAGGCTGTGGAGTCTCCTTCTCTGGAGACATTCCAACCCCCCTGG